CAAGTGGAACATACGCCTTCAGCGACACATCTACACTTCGTTCTACTTTCTCCAATCCTCTTCAGCTGGATCCACGATTCCCTGTAATCTCTCACCTCCTCCTCCTCCTCCTCTTCCTCCTCGCCACACTATCTTCTCCATGTCACACTCACATTGACTCACCCGCTCGTCGCTTCCCATTCGGATTCCGCTCGAGTGATGGCCTACATTGCACACGATGTCATTCGATGGCCCCTCAACATATGCCCAATCCATCTCCATTTTCCCACACATATTTGTTGAGCAATCGGTTATTGGTTGGTTTGTTCGCCGCTAGCCAGAGTTTCTTGTTGTTAATTCTCTCTGGCTGACTGACCATTTGATTAGTGAAGGCAACTGGTGGTAAAGTTGAGGTACAGATTTTGCTGCAATCCTATAATTTGTTCGGTGATGATGCGTAGACTTGTAATTTGATCAGCACATGATTTGGCTTTTTCTGAAGGATAGTAGTCCCAAACTAGGTCTAAACATCTGTCCAGTGCTACATAGCTTCCAACGATCTCTCTAACTGATGTTGATTCTTAATGAAATCTGTACTGGAAATAATAAAAGATATTACATCGCTCTTGATATAATGCTATTCAATTTGAAGGCAAAAAGCAATCCCCTTTTGATGTTTTCCCTTCAACTATCGAGTGTCATAGTTTAATGAATTTTAGTTAACCCGAGTGATTTAAGCTGGCCGCCAAAACAAGTATTCAAGTACTTACGATGTGAAAACCAAAGATAAATTTCAGCGAAGAGTCTCTTCTCGGAGGCGAATTCATTCACTTTGCTGTACAATCGCAATTATACATACTTATTTCTGTATGTGTGTATTTGTGTACATAAGGTTCGTCAGACAAGAATAAAATTATTTAGGATTGCTCTTTACATCATCAAAATATTTCAGAAAATGAGGTGAATAGTCAAACTGTTACTAGAGGGGGCTAAAGATTAATTAGTAAGAGGGTAGTAGTGATGAACTGTTAAAAAACACAAATGTAAGATACATAATTTATCCAGTCTAAAGTGAAGGATAAGATACCGCTTTTGACGATCTCAGTGTGTATTTATCAGTTTACTTGTTCGTGTAGAGCAAAGTATATCGGCCGTACGCATCATTAAGTCCGCAAACGTATTCTGAAACGCTGTCCAGCTTGGTTAGCCAGCCAAAAGAGAAAAGAAGAATGCCAGCAGCTCTAGCATCGAACACCTTGTCAACTCTACACATTGAGCACCCTCGTTAATGAATTTTTCACAGTGTTACACAGAGTCCCTCAATATCACACGAAAAGACTTCTAACGCGTCATCTATACATAGCTAAATGATTGGCTATTCGGGATCTGAAACCAAACCGCTGAATTCGAAAGCACCGCATACATTCATACGCTATATTGTGGCCGGAGTAACGTTCTCACTATAATTTTGCTTCATTGTATCATGTAAGCTTACAATTATTATTATTATTTCCATTATCATTATTATTCTCATCATCCTTATTTTATTACCAATCTATTACTATTTCTTAATAACATTGCGTTTTCATTCAGATTTTATAAAAGCACTCTATCGTCTTTCCACTAGTTCTTGTCCACCCTATACAACTATATTGACTACTCATTTTCTCACAATTATTACGTCATCCCTACTTCTGCCCCCTATTTCCTAATTTCCAATTAGTGATCCCTCCTATATTATACCTTACATTATGTATTACAATTTTTCAAGGACAAATTTTGCCAGTATCTGATTGGTCTCATGAATTCTTTGTTAAATCTAATTATGATTGTACAGCAGCTTATGAAAATGAATCGTCGAGAAGGAAATTTTCTTTGCTGTTTACGTCTTTTTCTAATAGTTCTAGAGAAATACAAGAGTTAGAAGGAGTTAGAAGAACAAACAAACAAAAGTCAAGTCAGTAGAAGACAACATGGTTGTTACTATGATAGTAGAAGTGGTTGGGTGATTTTCTTTTGTATACATAACTCTGGTTTTTCCAAATGAATGGCTAAAGAGGAGACGAAAGCGTATTGCCTTTGATTGGTTGTTCTTCATTTTGTCGATCTTTTTGAGGCGGAAGCAGAACTACCAGTGATCATCAACCTTCGGACGAGAACAGAAGTCCAGAAGGCAATCAAGACGCTAAAAGCTAGAAAAGCAACAGGCCCAGACGAGATCCCAGCAGAAGCATTGAATGTGGACCTAGAGACATCAGCAGCCTTGATGACACCACTACTGCAGAAGGCGCGGAAAGAGGGCAAGGAACTTGCGGATTGGAAGAAAGGCTACTTATTTAAACTGCTAATGAAAGGAGACTTAAGTCAATGCAAGAACTGGTGCGGAATTATGCTCCTGTCCATCCCAAGCAAAATACTAAGCCGTATCATCCTGGAGAGAATCAAACACGCCGCCGTGAATAAAAAACTTCGACTGGAACAGGCTGGATTCAGGAGAAACAAGTCATGCATTGATCAAATTGCCACACCACGGATCATCATTGAACAAAGCTTGGAATGGCAGTCAGTCACCTCTCTATCTGAACTTCATCGACTTTGGAAAGGCCTTCAGCAGACAGAGTCGATCGAGAGGTGATTTGGCAACTACTTCGCTACTACGGGGTGCTGCCGACAATTATACATCTCGTACAGCAGTTGTAGGACAATGCTGCATGCCAAGTAATCCACACAAAACGGAAACTCACGGAATCCTTCGAAGTGATTACGGGAGTAAGACAAGGGTGCCTACCATCTCCAATGATTTTCTTGATTACGGTAGATTGGATAGTGCGACAGACAGCGGGAAGCGAGGAAACAGGCATAAAATGGACCCACACAAAACAAACTTTGAGGATCTGAACTTCGCCGATGATATATGTCTGATTCTCACAAACTGGAAAGTAACAAGTTGGCAGAAGAAGCATAAAGGATAGGACTTCAGGTGAACAAAGAGGAAACAGAGATGAAGATTCTTGGCCAACACCAACAGCAACAGACAACAATCAGACAGCATAAATCGGAAGAATCTGATAGAAGCAACCTCCTTTACCTACCTGGGAAGCATCGTTTCAACTACAGGCCCACGGAACTGACGAGGATATAAAAGCAGTGAGGATCGGGAAAGCAAGACAAGCTTTCATTACTCTCAAGTCTGTGTGGAGGTCAACAGCACTCAGCATGCAAATGAAAATAAGATCCGGATTTTCAACTCCAATGTCATTGCTGCTTACTTTACGGATCAGAGATTTGATGCGTCATAAAGAGCACCACAAAAATCTACAGACCCCCATCAACAGCTGTCTTCGCTCATTACTCAAGATAAGATGGCCAGAAAATTTCAGCGACAGGGAAGGATTTCTGGTAGCAAACCAACCCCGCAGGAACCGATTGTGCAACAAATAAGCAGGAAGAAATGGAGGTGGATTGGCTGGTCATACTCTGAGAAACCACCAAGTGACATCACTAGACAAGCTCTCGAGTGGATCCCGGCCGAATGTGAAGCGGCGAGTTGGTCGTCAGTGCAAAGGTGACTTGGAGGAGGCCATATGAAGAGGAGGTGAAAGCATGTGGGCAGACATGGAGCCACGTGAAAACGTTAGCAGAGAACCGAACTCAATGGAGACATGTGGCTGAAGCCCTATGTTCCTCTAGGAATCAAAGGAAATAATAATTAAAGGAGGAGTATTTTGAGACAGAATGACCAGTGTTAACAAGATGTTCGATTATTGCACTCTTTATAGAACCATTATTACCCTTCTGCAGCCATACGTAATAGTGGTCTACTACTTAGTGTTGTGAATGTGAAGAATGTTCTTCTCAAAGATGATGAAATTCTTCGTGTCAAGAACATTACAGGCTTTCAATTTTGAAATCCAAGTTCATGTGGAGTTCCTTTTTTTAGAACAAGTAATGTTTCGTTCCTCTGGAGTTTTTGTCTTGTCGATAAACATCTTTGATATCCATCATAGGTTTGAATAGAAAAGCTGACATCACTTTTACTCTGTTTATTATTCCCTCCGGTTTCCTGTGGAACAAAGGGATTCAACAACCCCTCTTCATTTTACTCTGTCCTCTGCAGTCTTTTTAGCTGGCTTCACTATTGTCAACAAGCTTTTATTGCTTCCTCTTTACATGATCTTTACACGACCTCGGAGCCGTACCTAAATCTCCGTTTCCTATTCGACTTCCACTTGTAGGCTTAAGATGTGATGTCATTCACCTGTCTTGTCTCAAGGCTATTATCGCTTCTTATGTTTCGTTGAGCTTTCTGCGCTGTGAATCATTTGGCATGTGGTATCATCAAATAGCTGTTGAATACTGGTTTCTATTGTTTTTTGGGGTATTCACTGCTAATTATTGATACATTTTCTAAATTACTTTACGGTTGACACTATCGAAGGCTTTTTCAGTCATCACTTACATTTTTGATTGAACACTAGTCAGTAACTGGGGTGATGTGCAGACTGAATTCTATCAGTCAAGTTCGCTGAGTGCCAACTAACACGAAACCTAGGTCCGAGGCATCCTGGAGATTGCCTCCGACTATCTATTACTATAACTTATATTATTGTGGTGAAAGCTGTCTACTAGCCAAATTGGTAGACAGTAATTTACGTCAATATTTACGTTCCCAAGATTTGTCGTGAGAAAATGTGAACAAAGATTGATTCAAAACCGACCACAGCATACTTTGCGTAGGCGGATGCAGTTAACATATAGAGGATTTGACATTCAAGAAACAGTCACAAATAGATGAAAGATTAACTTTACGTGAGAAACAACCAATCAGAAGACTGTGTTTGTTTGCTTAACTAATCTATAATAATGTACATGAAAATATATAAATATGCGTTGATTTCCTTAATAAATGATCTGTTGCCTGACTCTTGCATTCTGTCGTTACATTATTAATAGAAATATTTATAACATTAATACATATTATGAAACAACCATCTACATTCGATACCACTACTACTACTTACTCGAGTGAATTGATTATTTTCTTGTTCAAGTTCTTTCATTTTCTCTTCAACAACTTCAAGTTCTCTAAGTAGACTACTCAAATCATGTTCAGCAGTAGCTTCTATAAGTAGAACAAAACAAAAAAAAGAAGAAAATTGAAATATTCAAGGCAAGTTACAAAAATGAAATAAAAGTGTGATGATATATACTACTGAAATGAGTAGTAGGAAACTGGTCATGTCAACCATTATATTGCCTGTCAATGAGACTGAAATGGTCTAAATACTTGACGGCCGTTTCTTTCGTTTGTGACTTATGTTGTCATCAGAAGTGTACCACGAATCAACTCAGATCAAAGAGGAAAAAAGTTGGACAGTTGTTACTCCATTGTTTGAGACTCTTCGGTACCTCGCATCCTCAATTCAACACTTAGAAAATAAAAGAAGAAGAGTTCAGCGAAGAGTTACTCCCCCTTTTCGGCGATATCATTCTCAAACCGTACAACCGCATACATATCGTATATATTTCTTAGCAACAAAATGAATATTTCCAAGGATGTCTTTTGAGTTGTAAATTACAGTTAATAAGTAGTGAAAAAGACATGAACACTAAACAGATTCATCTACAGAAAGCCGACAAGGAACGTACAACTTACGAGCTTTCACAGTTCTGTCCGTTTGTTTGTCTGTCTTTCGACATAGAACTTTGCACAGTCAATAACTTTGCAACAGTTCAAGTCGCCACACTTCACTCAGCACACAAAGCCATAGAAGAAAGCAGCAGAAATGCATAATAGAGACAGTAGATAGGGATATGAGACAAAAGGAATTGTAATAACGAAGAACAATACAGCTTCATTGGAAATTATTAGTCACAAGAAGTGGATACATCTGCGCTAACCATTAAGAACGATTTTGAGCCATGTCACCAATTGTTTCCAACCATTGGTTTTTACCATCCCGAGGACCCCAACCAGGAAGCCAATCGACACCTTCCTACGTGTTTGACTTAAACTAACTGTTGTGGATTTCATTGACTGATGAGGCATTTTTTTGGTTCGACCGCCGCTAGCTCTTTTCCAGCCTGACCCTATGTCAGTCAGCAAACATTGCCCATTGTCGAGGGAGGCGATGGCTAGGCATACGTAACACATGTCTTAACTATCTCATCCGATTTAGCTTCACAGTCTCGTCGATTGATTCCCCCTCCTTACCTAGCACTCAATGTCTAGTCTCAGTATTGCTTACCCCATTACACCACTTCACACGGGAGATAGAACGCAGACACCTATGATCAAAGACAGCTAGCTGGAATTTTAATGCCTTCCACTCTCAATGGCCCTGTCCCACTCGCAGCCATAAAGGAGGAGGACGGAGCAGTACACCCTCCCTTTGGTCGATAACCGGATATCACGTCTACGCCAGAGACGGCGTAAACTGATATATGAGAAACTAGCCTTCTGTATGCGTGCTGAGATTTCGTCAGCAGCAATCAGTCCGTCAAGGCTGTTTCAACTTCCGAAATAAGTGAAGTGATCAACAGGCTCTATCACTTCCTTCCTTATTTCTAAGCTGGGAGTCAATGTAGTCCAGTCCTGTAGCATCATCTTACATTTGTCAAAGGAAGCGAATCGCATGCTAAACATTCGAAGATTGCAGTTCAAGATGTCCAGAAGACTCTGCTCAGTTTTGTTGGCGTCTTCAAGTAGAAGGACTATATCATCTGCACATTCTAAGTCAACGAGATTATTCCCTGGTAACAAGTCAATACCCTGAGTCTCTGAAATGAGTTAGGGTTAACTCATGGGACGTACAACTTACCAGCTTTCACAGTTGGATGCGCCTATATACGAAACGAAACCTGATCCCTTGACTGAGCCACAGAATCCGCAGCATTGGCAGCTCTGACACTATGGATGAGGAGCCAAACGCTTTGAAGAGAATCTTCCTGGAAAATAGCCACCCAGAACGTTTCATCACAAAATCTATGAAACCCAAACCACCAAAACCTTCGACACTTTCTGCTTCCAAAAGACTTCACTACCTGAATCTACAATTCAATGGAGACTCATTAGGAGAAATACTAAGAAACCGCCTATTTTCGAGGCTGAACTCCCACCAACCTTCTCTACAAGACCACTGATTCACATGAACGTGAAGGATAAGCTACCACTTGTAGACCAGCTTCATCAATGTGCATCTACCAATCCCCCTGCTTGTTTAGAGGCACTAAGCATGTCGGCCGTACCCAGCGTTTGTTATCCAAATGTATCATCGAACACTTACCCACAGTCATGGTTTTATAAAGAAGAGAAAAAAGATCCCAAAACAGCAGTTTTATTCTGGAACACCTAATCGAATCAGAACACATCAAGCAAACCCACAAAACAACTTCAAAGTTAACTTAACTACAGAATATGTGGGGATCTTGGCTAAAAGTGTACGACGAATCAAACTTCTTCAAACCACAGAAGCAATGGCAATCCAGTCTTTCCTTGCCCTAGTAACAGGATATATTTTCATTCTCTCTTTCATTTGATTATGTAACACTGAAAATTTCATTCTGTATGATTTATATTGTTTGAAATGAAGGGATTATTATTGATTTTCTGTTCAAACTGGAACTCGCTAGATAAGCATGTTAATATCGTTTCTGTACATAAATCTAGGAATATCTTTAGACTGTTAGCAGTTGATGAAGAGCCATTAAACGAAATAAATGATGTTGTTTTTGCTTTATTCAAATTATTAAGACCCTAAGTCAACTTAATATATGTTCAAAACGTGATCACTGTGATAGCATGTAATTACATGTGTCATCTGTGCGTCGGTGGCACAGCGGTAGAGTGCTCGCCGACCACGCCTCAAGTGGTCCCGGGTTCGATCCTCGACCACCGATACACTCCTTTACCTTGCTAAGCCAGTAGTAATAAGACTAGTAAAGAGGGAAGGTTGGGCATGAGGCTGCTGGTTAGCTATCCCATCCTGTAAAAATAATCACCACTGCTACAGAAACTTCAAGCCTCTAGCTTGAAGCCACCCTATGTTCCACTCTGGGAACGTAAAGGAATAAAAATTAATAAAAACAACATATATCCTATATACCAAGTGATATGATTATGAGCAATAATTACGTCATCTAGTTGTTGATATACCGTATTACTCATTGTCGATATATATCAAATCAACTTATCTAATATTTTTATAGTAATTTACGTATATATATATATATGGCTATGGGCGTTTACCACACACAACTGTCCAGACTCAAGCAAGCGCGACAAATATCTGAATCTATGATCAATTGATTTAATATGCATCGCCTGCAGTATAATTGCAAATTATGCCGGCAAAAATTAAACAAACAAACAAAATAAAAAAACTTTTATAATGTACTATGAAAGAAGTTTTAAGTATTTTAAGTAGTATGTTCACTCTGGGGTAAGTGTAAAAACTAATGTGCAACGCCTAAATGTTATACACTAAAAGCTCTGCTGAATACAGACTGAAAAGCAAGTAATACTTGCCGATGAGAATAGTGTCCGACTACTTATATTGTAGCGTGTGCTACTGATAAGATCTGCCAGTAGTATATAGACGCAGATTGGTTGGGAAGCAGCCAAAATTGAAAACAACATTTTAAGTCACTAATGCCTACGGAAGTAGAAGCATTTATTCTTCAAATCTGGTCAGGAAATAATCGCATTGGACAACTTTTAGCCTCAAGGTTTAACCTTCAGAAAATCAACAACCAACCAATCAGAACAGTTTATTATCTTCTGGTTTAGCCGACCTTAAATGTGGCTAAACATGAATATATATATATATGGTAGGTTTCTCAGGTATTGGTTTTTGTAGGGAATTTTTGTGTGATTGGTTGGAGGATTTCATCATGAGTTGACATGGGTTAAAGAACCATTAGGAATCCTGCAGGGAGTACTGGACAGATGTTTCATCCTAGTTTGTGACTCTTCATTAGTACGCACCAACGCCAGGATTCGAGCCCAAGACTTTCTGGTTACAAGGCAAGCCAGCTCGCAAAGCATTCAGCAGCCACTGGGACACGATGATCTAGAGGCCCACCTCGTAAGCGGAAAGTGCTGGGTTCGAACCTTGGCAGTGGGTGCGTACTGATGAAGAGTCCTAAACAGGGTGGACGAAACAGCTGGCTGTCCAGTACTCCCAGTTGATTTACAATGGTTTTCTAACCAATGTCAGCTCATGATGAAATCCTCCAGCTAATAGCAGGTTTTTTCTTAAAAAGATCCGTTATAAGGTCTCTTGTCTAATCCAGTTATAAAATCACTCAGTCAGTAGAATGTAGTGTTACACGCTTATCCTTACTTTGTTGATTGTGATCTAAATGATCTTAGTTTCCTAAAGAAATTGAAGTGAAGCTTCACCTTAAAATTTACAAATCTCGAAAATTGTGAATTCGGTTAAACGTTTAACCAATGCGCCCAAGTAGCTTAGCAATCATCGATCTTCTTTGTTACCGTAAATGACAATCAGGAAAGTAAGCACATAGACTCATGGTGCTCTATATACTACTGATTGACTGATTAGTATGAGTAGTTGATCACCAACTAATACGAACTAGTAGTGCGTACTTGCTAGTCACATCAAAGTGATCTAAGCACCAGATGGCCATTTCGATGGTTTGCAGCTGAATTTATCAGCCGCCCGTACTCGGTTTTAGATTACCAGTTCACTCAAGGTGCTAGCCGAAATTTCTGTTTTTCAGTTGAGTTGAAACTGTTAAAGAGAAAGGAACAAGAAGTTCAGCTGCAAAGATATACTATCTATCTTTTCAACAATTTCATTCTCAAAAGCAACTGTACAATCACCATTTATATACATAAGTTTACACAGACACAACTACTATTTATTTCAACATAGTAGTAACAAAGGGTGATTAAACGTGATAATACATTTCAACTTTATATGAAGGTGTTTGAAGGTGTGAGTGAACATAGATTACAAGGGGCATAGAAACAAAATTACACAGGATTAGAAACTATTTTTTTAAACGAATACACGTGTGAAAGGAAAGAAAACTAAGAGTTAAACTGGACTAGATCCATGGTAAATGTAGAGGTTGCACAAATTTCTTTTCAACACT